ATATCATATCATATCATATCATATCATATCATATCATATCATATCATGGCGCCCTCTATGTGCACATGGTCTCGGTACCAGGTGCTCAGGGAAGGAAGAAGTGAGCCAGTAAGCAGAGCTCCCAAGCTCCACGGCCCATGCTTCAGTTCCTGTTTCCAGGTTCCTCCCCTGCCTGCCTTTCGTGATGACCCGTAACCTGTGAGATGAAATAAACCCTTTCGTCTCCAGTTTGGTTTGGCTCTGTGCTTTATCTTCTCAGCAGAAAAGTACCTAGCACAGGAGACTTCGAAACTTTTGGGAAATGGGATATAGCTGTCAGATGGACCATAGAGGGCTGGGCATTCTAGGCCTTTCATCTTCCTGCCAAGGCAGTGAAGTCAGTCGCCTCGGGCTTCAGCCACACAGCCCCCACGCTGCTTCTGGTGTAGTCTTCCTCCGCCACCGCGGACTGTCCCTTCTCAGACCAGGAGGGGAAAGAAATCTTTCCTCTCTGACCCGTCACTGCTCTTGAGTTTTCGGTCACCTTGCATAAAAGTCATGCAGAGAAGTGGGAGGGGTGGGCAGGGCGCAGTTACAGCTGTGAGCAGAACCACCCCAAAGCTGGGCCAGACGCGAGGTGTGAGGCTATACAGAGCCGAGACTGGACATCCGCAGTAAAGCCAGCTTTCTGTCACTATGACAGCTGAAGCAGCGCTAAGGCTTACTTGGGCTGGTGGTTTCTGAGGGGTTGGCCCTGCTTGCTTGGTTCTGTGGTCAGAGCATGTGACAAAAGAGGGCTACCCGCTTCACGAATGTCTGAAAGGGAGTCATGGCACCTATATCCTCTTCGGTTTTACGTTGCCAATAAACCCCTGTAACTGTGCCACCCTGCTTCCAACAGTGCCACACGCTGGAGGCTCAGCCTTTCATACATAACCTGGGGGCTGTTTCAGGGCCCAGCTAGAGCGCCCTGCATGTGACAGATGCGGGCAGAGGAGCGGACAGCCCAGGGAGCTCAGTCTGTCCAATAGGTATACTCTCCGAGAAATTGAAGATTTTAGCTGTGGTATTTAGATCCCTAACCAAAATCATAAGGGAATTGCCACCAAATCTCAACTGCTGACATTCTGGTCTCATGGATGTTTCCATACCAGAATGCTTTGGTGGAAGAGAATTATGTTTCTATTAAAATGATCCAAAAAATGGATGGATCAGAGATGAGAGTTCTCATAACTAGGCAGTTAAAAGAATCAATCAGCATGAGTGCTCTTCCCCAGGGCTGGTATTCGCTCTTTCTTGAACCTCACCAGGTTTCTCTGCTTTGTTTCCCTAACTTTTTAAAGAGTATGCCCAGGGGGCTGGAGAGATGGCTCCGTGGTTAAGAGCACTGCCTGCTCTTCCAAAGGTCCTGAGTTCAATTCCCAGCAACCACATGGTGGCTCACAACCATCTGTAATGAGATCTGGTGCCCTCTTCCGGCCTGCAGGCATACATTCAGACAGAATACAGAATACATGTATACATAATAAATGTATACATGTATTATGTACACATGTATTCTGTATAATATAATAAATAAATTATGTATACAGTACAGAATACTGTATACATAATAAATAAAATCTTAAAAAAAAAAGAAGAGTAATTTCCAGAAAAGGCAGAGTACATATGGCCCACTCCTACCCTCCCCACCCCAAGAATTCTGGGAATTCATAACCTCCATGGCAGAAGGATGGGCCAGCCCATCAACGCTCTGTGCTCCCGTGGAAGGGGGACACTGATTGGATCAGTTCTTTCTTTACTATCATTTCGGGGGGGGGGTGCTGAGCCACAAGTTATCAATTCAGAGAATCGAGGTACCCACCTCAAAGTGGGCACAAAACACACCCCTCATCCAGCCCATGACTTTCATTGGTCCCCACCGCTGGACAGTATTCCGGGGTTTCTTCTCTCTGAGAGCAATCTCAGACCTAACACCTGGCCTGCAGTAGGACATATGGGCCAGCTTTCCATCTGAAGTCAAAGCATTATTGCAACTTCCGCCATATATATTAAGCAAAGCCCTCTTCGGCTACCCGTGGGTGGTGTTGCAAAAGCAGCATGTTCCAGAAAGTGCTGGGTTTAGGATGAGGAAAAGAAGTCCAACCGAGAACTTTTCTTTCCGTTTCCAAGGTGCCCTGGCCTCTTGAAGGAGGTATGCAGGGGTCTGACCGAGGTGGCCCTATGCTCTGTCTCTTTGAAAACCTGGACGGTTTGGTGGGGGAATCAAAAGTCCTCAGCACACCGGTGCTGCTTCCCAAGTGACATTTTTAGAGGCAGTCGACCTAGGGGACAGCCAGGACGCTGGACAAAAAGGCTCCTTGTGCCCGTGATGTATATCTCGAGAAGAGTAGATAGTATGTATTATACACTGAATAAGAAATCACAGCCCACACCATTACAGGACTGGTTTGAAACTCCACTCGTCACTCAGCTCAGTCAGATTTTCTTGGGCCGGTGCCAGGCAAGTCATGCCTCGGATACAGAGATAAGGAACAGCCAGCCAGTAAATGTGGCCTCCAGGGACTAGGACTCAGCGCGGCTGGCAAGCACGGTTGGTGGTCCTGTCTGCCTCTCAGAGGGACGGCCCCCTCCCTCCGCTGCCTGGGTTCCAGGTGGGGAGGACACTTCCGGGGATGACCTGGGGACCCCGCTGGC